TCAGAAGAAAATAAAAAGGTTTCCGTTTTGTTTTTGCATGTTGGTGGGTATTCTGTTTGTAATAATTGTTTGGATACACTATATTTTTAATATGCTAGTTGTGATAATTTCATGGCAAGAAAAAATGTCCATAGTCATATTTTATGTTTCTAAAGTAACAGAATGACTTTCAATCTAGAAAAGACAAAAGAAATGCTAATGTAGCATTTTTTAAATTTTTCCGAAAATTTCCGTCTCCTCCTGAAAAAAACTGGGAAAAAAACGGGTTTTTTCCGAGCTTCAAAATTTCTGGAAATTTTACATCTCTAGTTGCGACCCTGACCGCAGTGCTCTCTGGGGGACATATGTCCCACTTTGCACCCCTCTCCCAGCCCACGGGGCCTCACAGTGAGGATACAACTTGGAGCTTACGAGCTGCTGTCATTTATACAGTTTATGTCTCCGGTACCCGGCGTTACGTTTTATTGCACACGTGGCCCGGCCTGACAATGTGGCATTTATATCAGATCCGGCCCTGGTAACAAATGAGTCCGACACCCCTGCCTTAAAGGCTAACAAAATTTGTGACAGGGGATGAGCTTTCGTGAGTCATGGAAACTCACACCCTGCCACGAATCTTGCTCTTTTCTATTGCTACAGAGCTGTGGAGTCCTGTGAGCAAAAATTCCACTTTGTGAGCTGCTGGCATTAAAGTTGTGAGTGAGCGATTTGGCTGCTGCATAAATCAGTTTGCTCTGGAGCTGTCCTTCCTGAGAAAAGACAAAAATGTGTGAGCTGGAGGCTAAAAAACCGTGAGCCGGCTCACACTGACTCAGCTCAGAGGGAACACTGCTGCAGACAGACTAAGACAGCTACCGATCCTCGCAATTTGAGAGCCGGGTCTTCCTTGATGAAGTCGATCCATCTCATGTCGTCAGGTTTCCTTGATGAAGTCGATCCATCTCATGTCAGGCCATCCTCTTTTCCTGCTGCCTTCGACTTTTGCTAACCTGATAAGTAGGACAGCCTCAGTTTGGTCATTTCAGCTTCTCTGGAGAATTCAGGCTTGGTTCAGTCTAGAATCCACTGTTTTGTCTTTATGGAGGTCCGTGGCATCCATAAAACTCTCCTTCACGTGCTGTCTCTAAACCCTCAGTGAAATGGCAGTAGTTGTCACACAAGTGGAAACCAATGCTCAACACCTCAGGGTCCCACAGATACTTCTCATTTTTAAAAAGGTCAGTTTGTGCTGAGTTCCATGTCACATGTATGTTCGCCCTTTGACGATCCCATTCTTACACATAAGCCATCCTTCCAACGATTTTGCCGGCTATTGGCCTGCTTTGTACCATCCTTAACCCAAGCCGGAAGCTGATTATATGACTCTTGTGGGCCGATTCACACGTGCGATTCCCGGATTCCTCATTAGCTGACTGCCAACACACGTGACGGCTCGCAGCTGAACGTCTGAACAGCACGGTCCAATGGCAAGGCTTGTTTTCAAGCGCCACTGGTACCATTTCGTCCGAGGTGGTTGGTCTGCGTTCAGGTCACTGCTCACTGTTGTCAGACAGGCTCCAAGGCACGCTCTTCATCCCGTCTGTTTACAGCTAAAGCTTGACACAGGAAATAAGTGTCCTAAAAAGACATTCTGGCAGAAAACCAGGATCTGGGATGAGGCTTTCAAGGGCCCCTGGATGGCTGCTCGCCTTATATAGCAACGGCTTGCCCGCGAGGAGGAGGCAGGCTCTCCCGCTCTGTTTCAAAACCGGGTTTCCCAGCAGCAAAGCTAGGGGCACAGCTTGCAAACATTAGAAAAACAGACCGGCGGGGGGCCGGGCGCGCTTCGCCTTTGCCTTTTTAGGGCTTTCTGGCGCCTCGGAGAGGTTCCCAAGCGCAGCCAGGCTCCGCCTGTATCCCTCCCTGCCAGGCTGTGGGTGGGGAAAGGAAGGAGGAAGCAGCCGCGGACGAGGAGCGGCGGCGGCTCCAAAGCCGGCGGGGGGCATGTCTCGCGCGCAGCAGCCGCCGTCCATGTCACATGTATGTTCGCCCTTTGACGATCCCATTCTTACATATAAGCCATCCTTCCAACGATTTTGCCGGCTATTGGCCTGCTTTGTACCATCCTTAACCCAAGCCGGAAGCTGATTATATGACTCTTGTGGGCCGATTCACACGTGCGATTCCCGGATTCCTCATTAGCTGACTGCCAACACACGTGACGGCTCGCAGCTGAACGTCTGAACAGCACGGTCCAATGGCAAGGCTTGTTTTCAAGCGCCACTGGTACCATTTCGTCCGAGGTGGTTGGTCTGCGTTCAGGTCACTGCTCACTGTTGTCAGACAGGCTCCAAGGCACGCTCTTCATCCCGTCTGTTTACAGCTAAAGCTTGACACAGGAAATAAGTGTCCTAAAAAGACATTCTGGCAGAAAACCAGGATCTGGGATGAGGCTTTCAAGGGCCCCTGGATGGCTGCTCGCCTTATATAGCAACGGCTTGCCCGCGAGGAGGAGGCAGGCTCTCCCGCTCTGTTTCAAAACCGGGTTTCCCAGCAGCAAAGCTAGGGGCACAGCTTGCAAACATTAGAAAAACAGACCGGCGGGGGGCCGGGCGCGCTTCGCCTTTGCCTTTTTAGGGCTTTTTGGCGCCTCGGAGAGGTTCCCAAGCGCAGCCAGGCTCCGCCTGTATCCCTCCCTGCCAGGCTGTGGGTGGGGAAAGGAAGGAGGAAGCAGCCGCGGACGAGGAGCGGCGGCGGCTCCGGGCCGGCGGCGGCGCCTCCAAAGCCGGCGGGGGGCATGTCCCGCGCGCAGCAGCAGCAGCCGCCGCCGCCACCTCGGCCGGAGGAGCGCAGCTCTCCGGACGAGCTGGAGGACGAGAAGGAGGAAGAAGTGGTGCAGATCCGGCTGGGCGACCGGAGCTTCCCGGTGTGCAAGCGGAAGCTGCTGGAGCAGAGCGCCTACTTCCGGGCTCTGTACCGCTCCGGGATGCGGGAGGCGGCCGAGCCGGAGGTGCAGCAGCTGCGCGGCGGGCTGAGCGCGGCGGGCTTGGAGCTGGTGCTCGACTTCATCAACACGTCGTGCCTGCGCCGGCTGGAGCGCCAGGAGGGCGGCGAGCCCCCCCTGCTGGACGAGCTGGTCGAGGCGGCCTCCTACCTGCAGGTCACGCCGCTGCTGCGCCGCCTGCGCTCCCAGGTGCGCCTGGACAACTGCCTTGAGCTCCGCCAGCTGGCCCAGATCTACGGCCTGCAGGAGCTGGAGGAGGCCTGCCTCCACTTCATGGGCGGCCACTTCCACCAGGTGCTCCGCAGGCCCGAGGCTCGCCCCCACCTGCTCCTGCCAAGCGCCCTGAGGCTCCAGCTGAAGGAGAGGCGCATGAAGGGCGCTGCAGCCCTGGTGGCTTTGGGCAACTTCATCGGTGCCCCTTCTGCCCCAGGCAGGCCGCCCCTGGAGGACTTGCCCTGCGCCATGCTCAGGTACGACGAAGGGGCTCGGCGCTGGCTGGTGCTGCCCAGCGACCTGCCTGCAGACCTGGCGAATGTCCGAGGATACGGCTCCGCCGTGCTGGACAACTACTTGTTCATTGTCGGGGGCTACCGCATCACCAGCCAGGAGATCTCCGCCGCCCACTGTTACAACCCGTGTCTGAACGAGTGGAGTCAGATGGCGTCAATGAACCAGAAGAGGTACAAAAACACCCTTCAGGTGGTGTGTACAGTTCTGGTCACCACTCCTCAAAAAGGATGTTGTAGCATTGGAAAAGGTGCAAAAAAGGGCAACTGAAATGATTAAGGGGATGGAACATCTCCCCTCTGAAGAAAGGCTAAAGAGGTTGGGGCTCGTTAGCTTGGAGAAACAACGACATGGTGACATGACAGAGGTTTACAAAATTGTCCATGGGGTAGAGAAGGTAGAGAAAGAAGTACTTCTCTCCCTTTCTCACAATACAAGAACTTGTGAGCACTCCGTGAAATTGATGACCAGTAGGTTTAGAACAGATAAAAGGAAGTACTTATTCACCCAAGGAAGTGGTGGCGACTACAAGCATAGACTGCTTCAAGAGGGGATTGGAGCAGAGGTCCATCAGTGGCTATTAGCCACAAGGTATAGATAGGAACCACTATGCGTGGGGTTGTGATGCTCTGTATTCTTGGTGCTTGGGGGGGACAATAGGAGGGCTTCTGGAGTTCTGGCCCTGCTGGTGGACCTCCTAATGAGATCTGGATTTTGGCCACTGTGACACAGAGTGTTGAACTGGATGGGCCACTGGCCAGATCCAGCATGGCTTCTCTTGTGTTCTTATGTTCTCGAGAGTGTGTCTAGTAGTAGGGCACCTGGCCCTAAAACAAACTTCTAAGGTCTTGCAGTGTTTTGTTAGAATTAGTTACACTGTCTTCTCTACTTTGTTTCAAATAACTAGCTGCACTTTGCTTACTGAGGGCACCCAGCCGTGCAACTTTTAATGGGGCTGTAGGAAGAATGAGTTATGATGCTGTCCTGCTGAGCTCCACCTTGTATGAATTTAGAACCAAAGAGGATGGCGGATGGCTTCCACTCAGTCATGCTTAATAGGAATTCTGTTTCTGTTCTGGCTTTTTCTCTCACTGGTTTATGGTTACTGAGAACCCTTAAGATCTGTCTGTACTACAGACTGGGTTTCTCAACATCTTTCAGGCTTCCCTGGTTCATGTTTCCTAAAAAAAGGACTTATTCTGGGCAAAAACGTGTGCCATTTGTGAGTGGCCATGTTTCAACTACCAAATCCATTTTTGGTGTTCTCTCAGAAGCACAAATAAAGTGGAACAGGGAACCACGTGATGGTGATGGCTTATTCCAGAAGCAAATGATTGTGTCTGCCTCCGATGGCGAGCCCTTAGTCTCTGGGAGAGCAAGACGTACAGGCGGACAGTGACTCTCTGAGCTGGTAAGAGAATCATTCATCTGTCCAAAGAGCAGGAAAAATTGAGATTTGATCTCTGCTAGTTGCATAGTTTATTCTTTTACCAAGCCTCCTATGGGAGGGCTCTTCCATGTTGGCGCACTTCACCTCGGGGACTTGTCTGGCCACTGCTGAAAACAAAACATTGGGTTCGATGGCTCTTTCCTATCCAGCAGGGCTCTTAAAACGGGTTGACTCCGATGCATGATGTCGGAGGCCCCAGGGGGTTCAGAGGAGAGGTGTTGTGGCTTTCCTTTGTTGGCTGACACTTGTCTTTCCCATGCTGCATTGCTGCTTGTTACGCTGAAGGTAAAACCACAGCACCTGAAAAGGACTCTGCACAGGTACGAGAATGCAGAACGCACTGAAGTGGCATGATCTTGGGGTCCGTGTGCTGAAGCTGCTGCTGCAAAGGCTATATATA